GGTATGTTGTGTTTCTGGAAAATAGCACCAAGTGGCAGCAGGTATAAAGAGAATAGGAGGGGACCCAGGATGGACCCCTGCGGAACCCCCCATTTAAGCTCGGCCACTGCAGAACTAAAATCCTTGATGGAGACACAAAAGGATCTGTCAGTGAGGTAAGATCTGAACCAATTGAGGGCTGATCCTGTGACGCCCACCCACTGCTCCAACCTAGCAATGAGGATCTCATGGTCGATGGTGTCAAAGGTGGCTGTGAGGTCCAATAGGACAAGCAGCACAGAATCACCGGTATCTGTGAATCTGAAGATGTCGTTAAAGACCTTCAGCAGGGCAGTTTCAGTGCTGTGGAGAGGTTTAAAGCCAGATTGGAATAGCTCTAAGATGACGTGACCCTCCAGTAAGCACTTCAACTGGGACTCGACTATTTTCTCCAGTATTTTAGACACAAATGGGAGTCTGGAGACAGGCCGGAAGTTGTACAAGACTGAGGGGTCAAGGTTTGTTTTTTTAGGACAGGCTGGACAGCAGCATGTTTAAAAGATTTTGGCACCATGCCAGTGGATAAACTACTGTTTACTATATCAAGAATGGACGGACCTAGAGTAGGAAAAACCTCCTTTAGTAGTCGAGAGGGGGTCCACATCAAAGGGGGAGCCAGAAGGTTTCAAGCTGCACATGACCTGCTCTAGAGAAGATAGTGATGGGTTCAAAATAGTCAAATGGAGCTACAGATTGAGGTGGGATGGATGGGAAATGAGTTGGAGGGGAAATGAGAGCCCTGGTGGTCGCAATTTTTTTCCAAAAAGAAATGTAAGAAGTTGTTGCACAGCTCAGTCGAGGCTTCCAGAGGTGATGCTTCAGTGAGGTGGAGAACAGAGTTTTGGGTGGAGAAGAGGACACGTGGGTTGCGAGAGTTTGAGGTAATATATCAGAGAAGTATTTGGATTTAGCAGCTTTCACTGCTTTCTGATAACAGCACCAACTCTCTTTAAGTATTTGAAAAGAGACCTGCAGCCTGTCTTTCCTCCACTTGCGCTCCGCCCTCCTACATTGCTGCCTAACGGCCTTGGTGACGTCACTCAGCCAAGGTTCTACTCTGAGTTTAGATTTTTTGGTTTTAACAGGCGCAACATGATCCAGAGTCTTTAAGCAGACAGAGTTGAACTGGGATGTCAGCTCCTCAGTGGTGGTGAGAAACACTGGGGGCTGAATGATCATTTCAGAGTTATAAACATCTGTGAAACATGCGGCAGTGAAATGGTTAATGGTCCGGCTGCGACGTGCAGGAATGCACGACTTAGGAGTTAGATGGGGGAGGGTGAACTCGAACTGGACTGGCATGTGGTCTGAAAAAACATTATCACCAATAACAAGATTATTAACAGTCATATCATGAGTTAAAACGAGGTCCAATGTATGTCCACGCTCTTGGGTGGGACCGTTTACATGCTGAGTTAAATTAAATGAGTCCAATAAATCTAAAAAGTCCTTAACCAAGGGCTTCTCCTGACAACACGCATGCAAATTAAAGTCCCCAATAATGAAAACATGATTATATTTTGGTGTGATTTCAGCCAAGAAGTCAGAAAAGTCATTTATGAAATCCTTAGACCGAGGTGGGCGGTAAATGAGTGCACATAACGTCGGAGGCGAATGGCCGAGTTCAAAGACGCTCAGTTCAAAGCTGGCGCGGGAAACTGGGATGGGCAGTTGTTTACAGTTAAAAGTTGATTTGAATATTGTTAATAATCCACCACCGCGCCGGCCTGATGGCCGCGGAGCGTTAAAATACAGACAGTTCGTGGTAACAAATCTGTCAAGGCGCTGGACTCACCTGGAGACATCAGTCTCTGTGATGCACAGAAAGTCCAAATCGTGCTCTTGAAAGTAGTCCCTGAGGAGAAAAGTTTTGTTGGTAACAGATCTTGCGTTGACCAAATCCATCCAGATATTGTCCAAAGTAGAGCCAGCAGCGGTGGAGTTAGCGCGCGCTAATGGCCGGAGGTTTTCAATAACAGACCCTCCGGGTCGGTCCGTACACCGACATCTCCCGTTGTTTACCTGGTCGGGCATGCGGGAAGCTGGCGATGGAAACCATGACCACCAGCTGAAGAGGAAGATGCAGCGCGCAATGCTTTAAGTTTTATCAGCCGCCCAGCACGTTTTCCCCGGCGTCTGAAGCGATGTCTCCAGGCATGCAGATGAGGAGCCCAGCGGAGGTAAGCTAGCATGTCCGCCAGCAGGGGGGAGGAGGGGGGGGGGGGGGG